TATATATATATATATATATATATATATATATATATATATATATATATATATATATATATATATATACATATTCGCCTGAATTTTATAGCGCCAAACTGTCCGACCTGAAAAATCCAAGCGTGCTATTTTACATCATAGAGAAATCCTCAAAGTCGACGCACTCTCGAGATTACGGGAGTATCCTTCGCGCGCGAGCAGCAGCTGTCGCGAAAAAGCGAAGCGGATTTTTTCCAAACTTACGCCCGAGATTATTAATGTCCCTTTGAGGTGAGTAGATTTCACTTGCCAGATTTGCCGGCGAGCTTCTTAAGCGAGAACTTTTCGTTATTTTGCGCAGACAGCGGCGAGCGAGCGCTCTGACGAACGTTGGCATGGAATTCACATAAAAAGAGAGAACTCGACGTGGAAAGCTTCGGTAATTTATTCTCGCGCGATTCACACGATTATTCCGTCGGTTCGCACGGAAACCATTGTTAACGATCATCTTTACACCGTCCCTGCCGTCTGTTCGGCGAGACGCGAGAGAAAGAGAGAGACAGAGAAAGCCCGACGTCAGTTTAAAGTCGCATCAGTTCGAACTTTCTGCGGCCGAGTGTCTAATTATGCGCTCGTTTCCGCGACAAATAAAGCAGAAATAATTCCCCCCTACCGTAAATATCGCGCTTCTCTCAGTCGACCGAATATCTGTAATTAGGGTGAGGGAGACGCGAAGGGACTATCGTGCCGGGTGGGAACATATACAGAGTGTCTAACACGAGATGGCCAAAACACCTGTGTGCGGATTAGGTCAATCTAAAGAAATTCCTCTGCCATTTCTCGAACAGCCATTGTAAAATCTCGTGACATTAATGAAGCGAATTTAACGAACCAGCATGCGCAATCTCATCGAAATTTACGACCGTTTCTTAGCGACACGCATTCGATGTGTATAAAAGCATTTGTAATTCTGTACAATCAATACAGCTTTGCAGGAAAATGTTAACATTCTGTCGCTAAAGTTTCCCCTTAACATCTCGAAATTTTACATCGAAAGTTGCTTGAAAAACGAGAAATTGTTTACTCAGCTTGATCTAATCTATCTGCACACACCTACTCGCACATGTTTCGGGCGACACCCTATATATCTGGAAGCGCGCGGTCTGTATCTCGCATGTCAGGAGGAGAACGCGTAGCTATGGTTAATATCTGGCCACGACAACGCGCAGACGATCGGCATTCGTTCTCATTCTTGTAGCCGCGCGATATTACAACGATTGTGTGCGCGCGTCGCTAGCGTTTCAGGACATCCGGGGATGCTCCGATCGTTTAGAAGCTATCCTCTCCAGAGACACCGGGATATCTTGGCGGTTGTAGTGCGCGTTATTATTTGGCGCAAGAACACGCGATGAAACAGATGTACTGTTTACTGTTAGGCTGTCGTTTGCTGCGCGCTGGATAATTGCGAAATGGAAGAAAAGAAAGAAGAAAGATTTACGATTGTAAATTGATTCGCGAATGTTTGTGGGTAACGCGAGACCGCTGAAAACCACTTCACCGTGCTCTCTCGAAGCAACCGCGATGTTAGCCGCGAAAAGTGCACACGGGACTCGTGGACTCTTCATAGCTGGATCGCGCCCGGGAGAGCGGAGATTTTCGGAGGGGCTCTGAATGGCAAAACGAGGGGAAACGTATCGTCACGGCGACTGTTGTCCTCGGCGCGACAATTAAACTCGAGGATTATATCCGCGGACGAGAGCTCGTGGTTCGTCGTATCGTTATAATGGAAACGTTAATGTCGAGCGTCGCTCTTCCATTCACGTGAAGCTCATCTGAATACGATAATATGGCCGGCCGGCCATTACCTTACCGTGTCTCCGGCCGCCTTCTCGAGGCTTTAATTCCGAATACGGTATATGTATATATAGTATATAAGGGGAGAGCGCATCCGCACCCCCCATGTAGCGTGACCAGATACGAGTCTCAACCAGCTCGGACAGCTGGTACGGGATAAGATAAGAACTGTCAGGCACTTCTCTTTATTGGGATACAATCTACTTCGGTTAATCAAACGCGCTTCCGCGGAAAGAAATGGACTTGTCGTTGAAAATTATGGAACGTAAACAGCGGGCACGGCGAAACGCGGCTGCCAAGGTATAAACATTGCTAGGACCGTTACAGCGCAAGATGTTATTGTTTACATATATTCAAAGCCAAATCACGGCCAGGAAAAATATTTTCGTGTCTATCGACGAGTATGCCGTGGCATTAATACGTTACATTTTTCTCAAACTGATATTTCTCTCACATAAAATATTGTAAAAAATCTCAACATTGTGTGATCATTATGATATCTCATTCACCAAATCTGTATTAATTATCACTTCCTCAAGTTTCAGTGTAATATTTCACAGAATAAATATTTTTGCAATAATCAGGAAGCGAACAATAAATGCTCTCTCGAAGAGCTTATCGCTTCTCGTAATTCATATTAAACTAAATACTATATGAGCGCGTGCTATCGCGCACTAAAAACTACTTTCAACGGAAATCAATGCGATTTATATACAGGACTCCCAACGAAAACTTTCCACCTCTGTTATTTAACTTATATTATTATTTCAGATTTTTTAGAGGTAGCTGAACTTTAATTAAGAGGATAAAGTAATATAATTAAATTCACCACAATCATGTAGGCCCCTTGAAAATAAAATTGACGTGTATCGACATTTTTGACAAAAATCAGTTGATTACAAAATAATCGGAAAGTTTTCACATTGGCAGACCCTGTGTATATATATATAAGCATGCATTAAAAAATGTGACGCTTTCTGAGCGTCTGAATTGCACGCTCACCAATTCGAGATGTCCAGTGGTTCAAAGATCCATGAACTCCAGAGCAGGTTGCTCTACATCCATCCAGTCTCCTCAATAGTCTGTTCAATATCCAGAACAAACTTCTTTTTCGTCGCTATTTTTTTTTCTTTTCTTTTCTTTGTTTCTCTTTCCGTTAATTTCGATTAAATTCGAAAAGAAAGAAGTTGCAAAAAGAAATGCGTATTTAAAACGGGACTTACAGCTTGAATATTAGCACGAAAAAGGATAAATACGCGTGAATTCCGACGTTTCCTGAATGTATACGTGACACGCGGATCGCATGTAAACAATCGCGACTCAAAAATTATGACGCTTTCGACAAGAAAGAAAAGATATTTTATTTCGCAAACACGATTATATATTTCGTGAAAATCTACCTTATTTCGTAAAATGTAAAATTCTATGTAAAAAAACCTATATTCCGAATTTATATATATATATATATATATATATGATTAAGATATTATTTACACGTCGCGTATAAAAAATATATAAAACTGATGAGTACGTCAATCGCAAAATTTATCAATCCGAATAAAATAATCGAGAATTTCGCGTGCAATGGCGCAATTCTGGTGCGCATTATATATTGCTCGAAATATTTAAGAAGTCACATTGTTTAAACAATTCCATCGAATAATCTCGTATGTTAAATTAAAAAAAGCGTTTATATATGTCTTCTAATGATTTAGAATAAATATATTTGAAAGAGAATCATATATAAAAGAGAATCGTATAATATATTTAAAAGAGAATTATATATATTCTAAATTCTAAAATTTAAAAATTCAATATTCTAAAATTTTGATTAAAAGTATGATTAAAAGTATGATTAAAATTTTGATTAAAAGTATGATTAAATTTTGATTAAAAGTATGATTAAATTTTGATTAAAAGTATGATTAAAAGAGATCTCCTGATTATATATCGAGCAATGTGTGCGAAAACTACAAGTAAATCGCATTGATTTCCTGGAAAAAACCACCACCTGCAAAATTTTTTTATCTCACTCACCAAAATGTTGTAGACAGAGTCAGTCACGTTCCTTTGCGAATCTACAACAAACAACACGGTTTCGTTAATTAGATTAGAAGGTTAGGTTAAACTTTGCGAAAAAGTATTAATACGAACGCGTTGCGACAGTAATTCGATGGTATTTACACCGACAAATCGATTTACGATCGCAAAGATTCTAGAAAAGACGCGTAAAAGATCAACGAATCTCACCTTCGAACTGACTCTGCGGGGCCCGAACCGGATCCTCCGGTACGCCATACGCGTCCGTCGATACCGCTTCCCGAAACACACACTCATCGTTGTGGCCGCAAACTTCGCTGGATCTGGAACAAAAAGCAAGTTTCCTGATTAGTATTTTAGCAACGGATGCATGCAAGGATACGGAGATTCGAGAATGTGAGCCAACATAAGCTAATCTAATTTAGAGGCGTTATGTACCTTCAAAGAGAAATACTGCTATTACTCGAGACGCTGCAGGCAACGATATGCGCATACGAATTAATATTGGGCGTCATACACGCACGTACAATTACGATCGTGCCCGAGAAAACCCGCGAAAAGTTACGAAAAATCGCGCGCGCGACGTTACCCGCTCCGCTCCACTCCGCACACTAGCGCGCTACCGTGTGTGTGTGCTACTTTCATGGGCGCCAGTG